GACCGGCCTACTACATACCACCTCATGCTACTAACTACAACTAGATGCTACTACATATTACTAGCACTACTACTATTCCTCCTGCTGCTGCTCCTACTACTGCTACTGCTACTACTACTACTGCTACTACTACTACTACTACTACTACTACTACTACTACTACTACTGAGTACTACTACCACTACCACTACTGCCACTGCGATCTTAGCTGCTATACGACTACAAAAGTATGTCAACCAGAACAAAAAAGAGTAATGAGAAGAAGAATAACAACAATACTTACTTACTAGTACTAGTACGACTACTACCCAGATTTCAGTGGTGTTATGATTACTACTACTACTACTACTACTACTACTACTACTACTAATTACTACTACTACGACTACTACTACTACTACTACCACTACTACTACCACTACTACTACTGCTACTACTACTACTACTGCTACTACGATTACCACTACCACTGCCACCACCACTACCTACCACGACTACTCCTACTACTACTACCACCACTACCACTACGACTACTCCTACTACTACTACTACTACTGCTACTACTACTACTACTACCACCACTACCTACCACAACCACCGCCACACCCACCTTACCTACTACCTACCAACTACCACCTATCACCTCCACTACCACTACCACTACGAGTACCACTACGACTGCCTACTACCTACTACTACCTCCTACTGCCTCCTACTACTACTACTACTACTGCTGCTGGTGCTGGTGCTAGAGATGCTGCTCCTACTCCTACTCCCACTGCCTGTGTCGGCGTACTGCTGCTACTGCGACCCACGGTCGCCACCACAACAACAGCAACAGCACATCACCACAAGTACCCTGCTTCACGGTGCTGGCTTCTGTGCCATGGCTTTCACCTAGTGACCTGGCGGATGCGCAAATCTCCTTGCAAGCACGCAGAAGTCCGTTCGTCTGTGGCAGACACCGTAGCAAAGAGAACTCGACCTCATTGAACACCTGATTGTGCGGAACTCAGCACAGACAACTTGATACGTACTGTATAGTGTGTGTATATATATTATATATATATATATCTGTTGCCACAGCATCGCGAAGTGTACAGGACTCGTGTAAGCATTCCTACCTGCACCCCATGTCCTGCATGATTTAGACGGCTGAACAACGATTAAACAACATGGTTCAAAGTTGCAATCCGAGATGCCAAAGGCACTCCACGCTCCTTCCTTCGATTTGAGGCGTGGAAAACAGACTAGCTAGGAAACGTGCAGCTGATTCCGGGATCGTCTTTCAATGCACTTCAGGTTCGTGGGCCTTGCCGCGTAATGCTTCGGATTTATGTCGGAAGCCCTGAGTTAGGCTCAAAGGTCGAAGAAATTCCCTGCTCACGCAAAGCTCCGGCGGACGAGCCTAATTCAGACCTCTCGAAGGCCATAGCGTCTTCCTTTCCTGAACCGTGTGCGATGGATTGGTGCGCTGCTTGCCAGCGAATTATCAACCCCCACCCCCGGCAAAAGCAGTTGAAGGAGGCTTTATAAACAGTTCTCGACTCCCCTGATCGAGCCAGGACTTTTGTTTGAGCGAACCTGTCTTTCAAAAACTAAAGAACTGTATTAAAAACCGAAAACGATTTTAATACAATCTATTTGTAAACATATTTCCGGAAGAAGCGAAATTTTACTAAACACCGCAACGATGTTGAAACCGCTGCGAATTCAAAGGTTCCTCAATGAAAGATCTACCCATTACCCAGAAACTGGGGCGATGGTTTAAAATCTCAGGGTGGGGGTGGGGGGTGTAAGTTGGCCGATGAGCTGCACTTCAGCGACGATCCCGAAGCTCGCAGTTGTTGAGGCACTCCCCGTTTGTGCACAGCTACAGTATAGAGTTGGGAACCAGCACTGCGCAAGCCTGCAATGCTGCCAGACTTGTGACCTCGCTTGCTTAAGTGTAAGCTGCCCGGGCACAGCAGGGCATGCATTTCCCTCAGCGCTGTCTCGTCGTAGTTGGAGACCCCAACATTGCGAACAATGCCTGGTAGGAAAATCTCTGATTTGGGCCAGGAGCCGCGCAGGCTTCCCTTTGTCGTCTTGGCCACCAACGCTAGAAGGTTCAGGTTTGCTGAAGTCCGCAGATGTCTAATCTTCGTGGGAGTCTCGGGGTGGTCTTGTCCGGGCAGGTTCAGGGCTACGCAGTACCAGTAGTCATAACAGACGTAATTAAGAGCCTGCTTGCAGCCCCGAGGAGTGCAGAACTAGCTCATGTACACCATGTACATAGCAAGCGGCAGCGCTGCAGTACAGGCGATCAACATTTACATACCCAACTGCCATGCTACACGGGTCGACCGGCAACCACTTGCAGCTACAAATGCAGCTCTCAGTCACAAAGCACCCGGGAAGCGGCCTCTCTGATAAGCTGCAGCCAGCTGATCCGCCATGGCCGTCGCACTGCCTGTCTGCTCGTCAGTCAAGATTTGCACATGGAGCTGGATTCCGCCCACTCTTGATATTCGCGTCGTGGGATCGTATGGCTTCAACCACTGCATTTACGTACCGGGATCCCTTTTCCGGTGCTTCTTCCCGGAGCCGGAGCCATCCTCACCCAAAATCAAAGATCCAACACTCTCAATTCCAGCAGCCTCCTAAATCTATCTGGCTGGCCTTTCGGATGGTGGATGAGAAACCCGTCCAGGGCATCGACGCCACACTTCGAGGCAGATTCCTCCCTTGGCACAGAATCCAAGAAGCTGAGCGAAATGGACATTGTTCACTTCTACAAACCCCCAACTCCGATCCCGAAAACATGAACCCAATGCCATGCCACAAGCTGGGGATCAGCTGCTCCGTGTTCTTGCCCAGGGCATCAAACTTCGAGATTACCAAGGCCTCGCTGTTCGGAGTTGAGACTCACCCAAAGGACTGTTGTTGGAGTTGTGGCCCAAAGAGCACGCAAGTCGGAACACTTCGATTATAGTTCGATTGCTCTGATGCATCACGAAGGAAGCCAGCGCTGCCACCGGGTTGCTACTCCAATCGGACAGTGTACTCCAAGGAAGAGGTCACGGGAATCAATGTGTGCAGGTAGTTGAAACTACAATATAAAACTGACAACGTTTCCAAACGAAGGTACCGACGAGCACTGAAGCCTGAAGCCAACACGCGTTGAATGCAAACATGCCGCCTAACCCGGAACTATAGTACCATCCAGTACCGTTTGATTTCTGCTCCAGCAAGAGGCCTTCTCGCCTCCTGTCACTCTGCCACGAAGCTGCCCTGCTCAAGGCGAGACTGTCATGTGAAGTAATAAGAGCCGGAGGGACTGCTCAAGGAATTCCACTGGTTCCAGGCTGTGTCACTGACGCAGTCGACCGCGTTCTGCTGGCAGGGATCGGGTGAAGTGAAACTGTCTGTGAGAGCTGTTGGCGCTGGGATGCCTTGGCGGCTGGGATGCCCTGGATGGATGAGCTGAGCTCGTGAGAGAGCAATCGAAACCAGCAGGTGCTCAACCCTTAACTTGATGCATGATGCCCTTCAAATCTATCGGGACATGACCTGCTTGAAGCTCAGATCACGAATGTGCCTATGCAGTTTTCCGAGGTGCCGTACAGCTGCGCTGTGTTTAGCAGGGTCACTCCTCAGATATGGAAAGCAACACTGCAGGGCTTGCACCGTCCATCATCTGCCTCCCCGCAGACCAACACTGAAGTAAGCGAGGTAGTCCGATCAGTGTCTATCCATGCGTAGGAAAGCTATGTTGATGAGGCTGGCCGGCATATCTGTGACATGGCATGAAATCATGAAGTCTTGTCAACATGCGTAGAGGCCCCAGTGTTAGCAATAACGCTAGATGGAACTTGCAATGGTCGGACTGGGGCCGATACCCATTCTGCAGCAGTGGGAACAATACCGACAGCGACCACAGCGACAGCGGACATACGTAGAAAACAAATGAAAGCAGCATCGCCAGTTGAATGGGTCGTCTTGATTATACGGCGTCCTGGTTCTTTATATGACCATCCTTGGCCATGCTTCGCGAGTCGAGGCCGAGACCGTAAAATCGCGTCAGTTTGGACTGAGGAAGAAGCAAAACTCTACGGACTCTGCGCCTCATGTGTGCTCAGCCCCGGGCCAGCTGACAGCGACGTTTCGAAAGCCCCGCGGATGTTGGGCTCAGAGAACCTGCTTCGCTCACGTACGTCAATTTGCAGACTGCTGCGTAGGCTTTCTTGAGCTTGCTTTTGTCGAAAAATATCTCTATGCATGAAAAGTTTCTCAACGATTTCCGGAGGACCATCATTGTCGTTCCGCTCGAATCCGCCGCCCACAAATATGTGGGTTGCTTGCTGGGCTTCCCTGATGTAGCTTCGGGCACGATCAATCCAAGTGCAACAAAGCAGCTTCGCCGGGTCCGTGCCCCACTTGTTCGTGCCCACCCCCAACGGCTGAAATGTCAGAGTTCCACAAGTCACCTTGGCGTCCCAGAGCCAGCCAGCATTTGTTAAATGCAGACAGGGCAGACACAACTAGGAATGAAGACGGCATCGGCGCATTCAAGTTTCTTCTAAGTACACATGTTTGCATCCGCCATCGGCCATGTGTGCACGTTAGCACTGCCCAGTGCAAGTATACCAGAAGGTAGACGCGTGCCGTGCGAACTGCACATCTTCTTTCAACAGTTCTACTGGTGCCACATGCTGCAGACAGCATGTCAAGTCATGGTCACATTGGCATAGCTAGTGTTTTGGCCAAGGCTCCTTCATAGCTCCATGAGATTGTGCAGCAATCATGACCGCGAGCTGGCTTGCAAAACCTGTCCTAGCTGGTCCTGCTGCACTAGGTGCCTGGAACACAAACTGCGACCCTAAAGCTGTACCCGTCAACATCAGCTTGAGCCCAGGCTTCATGCTTCTCCCAGTGCATGTTTCAACCATTGACCAGTCCTGCATACTGCACCAACCGGCAGATTTCGATTCTAACCTCGGATCCGCTCAGGTTCTGGCATCAATCTCACCAAGTAGCTCCTTCTCAGGGCTCAAATCTGCACCCAAACCCATGCGTCATGTCTGTTGGGGAGGAGAGCCTAAGCTCAGTACACCAACACCTACCAGTACGGCCCGTCAAAGTTTGGAGCTTGTAGAATGCGCACTATACTGCCGGGCCTAGTCTGTTGCAGCTCCTTGGTAACCGCTCCACCGCCGAGGTGTGAGCCCTTGTCGCTCTTGCCCTGCGCGGTGGGAAATTGACTGACAGCACGTCCGTGCCAAGCCTCCCGATTCGAAAGAGCCGAAGACTGACCCCACGGCTTTGCTTCCAGTCTGAAACCACAGGGAAGCAATACGGTGACAAAGAGCTAAAGTGCACATGTGAGCAAGTACAGCCCTCAAATTCAATCAACCGCTTTCAGCCAAAAGATCAACTTGGGAGCTGCGCCAAAGAGAGCCTGTCCCTGGCCGTCCATGATGCATGCATGGCGGAGGGTGTTCAACGAGTGCTCTGTGTCCTGTCATAACATCGTAGTTGATTTGTTTTGGTGTTGAGGCAGGGTCGACGCGGGGCTCCTGAAATCATGGTAGCCAGCTAGACATTAGACGTGCGTAAGGTATCAGGCGTGTGAGTCACGCTTGTAAGGAAGCACGTCAATTCTGCAAACGCGTCTGCACCCACCGGGAAAAATTAGTAAAAGGGGTCCCCTGCGGAGTAATACATAAAACTTTGCTAGGTTGCCTTGGTGATATCAATCCTAACATACCTTCTTCAGTATTTCTCGCTATTCACCTTATTGATTATTTCCTGGGGCGTCTAGGGTTTCCCGAAAACAGCCTTTTTACCAACGGTTTTCAGCACTTCTTCATCAATTTCATCCACCTCATTCATTTTATTCATCAACTTCCTAACATTCATACCAAATCTCATATCATCGCCCCTCATCCATTATTCCCATTTTGCACCCTATTTTCCAAGCTCCCTACTAATACACTTACCAAAGCTCTTATTACTTGAAGTCTTTCTACCATCATATTGTAATACTTAAAATATCATGGTTTTTTAACCCATTTCATTTAATTTTGTATATTGCTTTCATTTTCACTAACTCGTTTTCTATAATCTTTTTCATTAGCTCACCGTGTTCTTTATTTAGTGTTTACATTACTTTCAGACCTTGAAGCTTTATTCCTTGCCATTCTGAAAATGTTTATCATTACTGATACGATTACAGTGTAGAGACCATCATCGGCTTCAGAATTCAGTTTGCTACTTACACAATTCAAAACTTTGTTTATGTGATTGATCGTTTCAAAGAAGTGTTCAACCCCTCTATCTTTATACAACTCAAAAGCTGTGTTTCATAAGTCAATATAGTGTTACAACCAACAAGCTTTCTTATCGTTTCGAAATACTTTTCATTAATACCATAAGAACCTAACATGCAGTCATTAAGTCATTAACAATATTATTGCCGAAATTTACACCGAATAAATCATTGATGCATTCTTCATAAGTTGGAAATAAACGCCTTCCAAGCATTGACCTGTAAAGTTAGTGGATCTTGATATATCTCTAGTCTGAAACTTCTTTCAACAATTCTTGAAATCTGCTCTCCTCTCATTTTTCTCTTAATATTATACGGCTTTTTGTCTTTAAGTGATTTTTGATTTAGGTTTCATATTGGCTTTACTATAATATAAGGTGGCTTTTGTTTAAGTGGTTTTGGGCTTGGGTTGGCGTTGGCGGTTAGGATTTTTCGGGTGTTGGCTAAAAACGTTTTACTCGGAATGATGTTTTCAAGTCTTGACTAGAGTTTTTATGTTGATTATTAGTATTATTAGTGTTTTGAGTTCTTGTTTGTTCATTGCAATATTGTTTGCTAATGGAAAATTTCAGTTTCTCAGCAATTGAGCCTCAAGCTCCTCAGGAAGATGGGGTGGTGAATATGAGTTTCTCCCTAAAAGCCCTTTGAAGGTGAAGATGGGTTTCTGCCTTGAAGATGAATTTGGGTTTCGTCCCCTATTTTGTGTATATTCTAACGGTAAAACCGCGTATGGAGAATATGAGTTTCACCCTTAAAGCCCTTAGGAAGTTGGGCTTCACCTGTCAGTCGACTTGTCAAAAAAGATATTTGATAAAAGCTTGAAGATGAATAGTAATAAATGGTGTAAAAATCTTCTGGAAACGTGGAAAGGGAATAAGTCTAAACATCAAGTTAGAGACAAGAACCCCTCAATATTGCATGGAGAAACTTTCAACAGATACTAGGCAATGTTCAAGATGTAAGAGGAGTAAAAGTTTAGATGATTTTGAACTAGAATACAAACTGTGTAATAGATGTTTCTAAATCAAAAAGCCTTCCAGACAAAGGCATAAGGAAGAAATACAACAAAAACAAAAGGAAAATTATAACCAAAACCGAGATATGATACTAAATAGGAGGAAACACTATATCGCAGAAAACAAAGCACAGGTATTACACCAGAAAAAGGAATACAGGGAACGAAACAAGGAGAAAATCAAAGAAGCAAGACTGTGTTATGAGAAAAGCAAAGAAGCAATGCTTGAACAACAACGGGAAACATTAGCGACGACAAAAGAATTGAGTTAAAATGAAATGGAGTAAATAACAACCATAAGGACTATTATAATGTGATGGTGACAAGACTTCAAGTAATGAAAGCTTTGGTAAGCGTATTCTTAGGGAGCTTGGAAAATAGGGTGAAAAATGGGAATAATGCATGAGCGGCGAAGGTATGAGATTTGGTATGAATGTTAGGGAATTAAGAACGAAATGAATGAGGTGGAATGAACTGATGAAAATTGCTGAATAACCGTCGGTAAAACGGCTGTTTTCGGGAAAAGCCTTAAATTTAAATGCCCCATGGAAATAATGAATAAGGTGGATAGCGCGAAATAATGAAGAAGGTATGTAAGGATTTAATAAAACAAACCAACCTAGCAAAGCTTAATGTATTACTCCGCAGGGGCCCTCTGAAACTAATTTGTTCGGGGTCCCTGCTAGAGCTTACCTTCCACCGAGGCAAGTTTCCAGCAGGGTCTTCACAAAAAAAACAATTAGTTGAAGCAAGCGTCCTTGCTGCTCGGAGACACGGTGGCGATCACCACTGTTTCGTGGTGGCCTCCTGGCGATCTCTGCTCAAGACAGGCAAATGCACGCTGCGAAAAATGGCGGATCTGTGCCATGAATTTCGTGCGAGGGCGGTGTGGCCAGTCTTTGGTTCCGTGGCATGAGCTGTGATTTTTGCCTCCACCAAAGCCGCGCCTGCATTGCAGGTTTCACAAGTCTTGCAAACCCGCTGCTCATCACAACAAGATGTGGGAAATCTCCAAAACGGGACAAAAGACGTCGACACTTGAAGTCTGACTTGTATGCGCGAGCCCATTTCGTGCCCAGCAAACAGCCAGCATCGGCCCAGCACAAAATGTGCTTCGGGCTGGACTGGGGACTTTGCCACAGCCTTAAGTTCAAATAGCGTAGCTGCATGCTGCATCATGTGCCGCTCAACAACAGCGGCTTGCACTCTTGTTGACCAACCTGAATTCGGATACCTATCAGCAAGCCATGGCTGAATGTCGTGATTTCGATGCGGCTTCTGTGCAACAGCACAGAACGGACATGCCTGTGTCCGCTCAGTCTGCCGCATTCGTGAATTCTTGCCCTAGATCCTGCACTGCACAGAGAGAAGGCTGCTGTATTGAAAGTTAAGTCATTCGAGACGTGACTTCTGCGCAACACTCCACCAGCTCAGCACAGCAGCATTCGATCTGTGGTGCTCAACGGCAGCATGTTCGAGTTGGGATGCGGACTGGCGATGACAGCCACCAGTCAAAGTTCCGAGAAGTATCTGTAGATGGTCAGCTTGTACTGATCTGGCAACAAGCTCTGGGCCTGACGTTGCACGCCACATGAAGCGGACAAACATGTCCTCATTCGCGGCCCATTCAATACTGTATGGTACATAAATACATATATACATACATACATACATATATATATATATATACATACATATATTTACATTTATATTGTTCCCCCCTGAAACCCCACGCGTCAGATTTGCAGAAGCGCAGATTCGCGGATTCCCAGGTTGCCAGGTTCCAGATTCGCAGATTCCCAGGTTCGCAGATGCTATGATGATAGCATTGGGTATCTCAGACCGCCTTCAATGTCGGACCAAAACAAACTGAACTAGTGTTTCACTTCGTTCGTGGATTCGCAGATCCGCAGATTCGCAGAGTCCCAGATTCGCAGATTGCCAAATCGTAGAGGCTATACAATCTGCGAATCTAAGACTCTGCAAATCTGCGAATCTGAAAGCCTGCGAATCTGTGCCAACCTGTGAAACATCATGACATCCAGATTTCGTTTCTTTCTCAAGCACAGAGGCTGATACATGTGCGCATGCAGGAATCTGGTAGTGCCACGGCAGGAAAATTTGTTGTTCTGGTTTGTGTAAAGACCCTGGTTGCTTCTTTCCAACATAAATCCAAATAACGGCATCATTCAAAAAAGTTAACCTATGTGAAAGCCTCTTGTGGCTTCTTCATGCCTGTGGCTCATCAGATTACAGAATTGAAAGACTTTGTAAACATCCCATAGTGTCCTGCTTATATCTTCATTTTCAGCGTACCAGACTATAGTTGTCGTTTGGCCATTCATCAATCCAACTCATTTATAGGAACCCACTATCATTGCCAAAATGAAGCCTCTAATTTGCATGCGGGTGTATCTAAATGCATGTCGGTTAAATTTTCTGCTTATGTCAGGATAAAGTCATCGTCGTGAACGATCCGAGACTGTCACACAGTGTTCCTTAGTTTTCTCTTGAAGCCATGGCGAGATGAGCGTCATGTAAACAGCTAGCCAGTTCAACCGGTTTAAGCTTGTATTCTGACAGCCCTATGCCAGAGGCAAGAAATTGAGAACATATGGGTTAGTGAGTGGATGCACTTGGCCCGTGATTGAAGCATGACCATCCAGGTGCTTACACAGTGTATGTCACAGTATTATGTATTTCACAAGAACGTTGATTTAACCAGTCACCTAACCTACTTACTGGCAATATTTGTTAGTGGTATATCCGCGCTTTTTTACCTTTAGTTATGATGGAAGTCATGACAGTAAACTGAACGATTTGTCTGGCCCCTGCTTGAACTAACCCATGTAGGACTCCTGCGCTTTTGTGAATATTATCACGGATACATTAGATACCACGAACCAGGACGAGGGACTCGTGATATCAGTGGCCAGCAGGGATTCCTATTACGGATTACTGATACTCATGCCACCACTCAAGCTAAAAGAAATGCTCTGAGCGTTGGCAACGATGGTAATATCTGATGCCAATACTCGTAATAATGTGGGAGCAGGTAATGCTAGGAGCTAGAGGATTACGGGCAGCCTTGGTTTCGAGAATGTAGTGCTGCGGTGACTTGCAGGCCGCAGGCCACAGACATTTAGAATTTCAGGGTTCGTGGGCTGCAAAACAGGCCGAACTCCCGCTTAATGTTCTGCACGCCGGACCCAATACTAATTTCAATTCTCAGGGGGGAACTTCCTACAAAGGGAAAGGGTTAAGCCGATGTAGGGAAATCAGCTGGTCAATGGTTCTAGAAGACAGCATGCTTCTCATCCAAATCATGTCATATTGTGAAATGAGTCAGCTAGTCAACAGCTAGGTTCGTTCAAATTCGTACTGTATTACATTACGTTTTGCAAGATTTCAATTCACATGTTGACAATTCAGCTGTTTTCACGAGACCTTCATGAACATGAGCGCCTCATTCACGGTCATCGGGCATTTCGTGAGGAATGTAGCCGCAGCGAGGTCTAAAAATTGCAAAAATACAGTACAATATTCCCAAAGGATCCACATATACTACCATTATGGAAGTAGGTCTCCACAGCCATAATAGAGATGGTCTTTTGGGACCTAGTTCCATCATGGTAGTATGTGTGGACCCTTAGGGATTACGCCTGAAGGTAGAGGGGGACCTGGAACCTACACGCAGGGTTTCGGGACTAGGGCTTCGGGCTTACGATTGAAGTTGAGATTTGTATGTCTGTCTGCCAATTAGAAACACGCCATTTCCTTTTGGGTGTTTTCCTCCGGAGCTTGTTTGGTTATCTGTTTTTGTTTGGCTGGCTCATACAAACAATATCTGAGGAAATATATTTTACGGAACTTTGAACGAAGCAATCAGGTCTTACAATATGTCAGTGAGGAATGGGAAAATTGAATATCGTAGCTCTCAGTCTGAAACATTGGCCAGCACTGAAAACATTTTCGGGTGGCTATGATATGGGTGAAGAAATTGGAGAGAGATATAGAGAGATTGGGAAGGTGGGCCCCCACCCTGCTATGGACAGAATTATGTCAAACAAATACATGTGTTCAAAACGTGGGGTTTCAGAGGGGGGTAGCACATATATATATATATATATTATCTGCCTGTGCGTGGGTGTGGGTGTGTTTGTGTTTGTTTGTGTGTGTGTGTGTGTATATGTATGTACATGTGTATGTCTGCGTGTGTAGGATGGTCTATATGGTTCTATATGCATATATGCAGATAAACGCACGCACATGGGCAAAGACAGAGAAAACAACAGCGGATGGTTGTGCAAGTGGGTGAAGGCCAGCACAGTGTCGTGATTTCACTCTCCGCAGCTGAAGATCAGGCGGCGACCTGCGGACCTCCCTGATGCCCGGCACATTCAACTTCCGAGCGGCAAGCGCAGAAGGCGTGAGGAAGTGGCCATCGATGGCAACCAAACGATCGCTGGCCTGGCCCGTACGTTGGTGAACTGAGGTCCTCTGTCATCCGTGTCTGCAATGAATTCTTAGATGGCCAGCACAGCCACAGGTTGCCAAACATCCCTGACAGAGTCAGCTCTGGCTATGCCTGGCAAACTAAGACTGAAAACGTCCACCTTCCTACGTAACAAATCCCGGCCTTTCGCAGCAGAACACAACTGTAGTTTCAACAGCCGCAAGACAACATGAACACATCTTCAAACGGGTCGCGCAGCTTTGATATTCTGACGTATGCATATATCTATAAGAACAGCTTGAAACTTTGGGACTCTGAACAACGCAAGTTACAGGTTCTCCCTGTGTGACTGCAGGAAACTGCAGCAGCCAACCCCCGCATGTGCCTTCACGTAGTCCACGCCATCTGCACGATTCTGCCTCCTTGGAGGTGGAGAGGGGGGGGGAATGCCCGAAACTAGCTGACTCGCCTGAGCTTCGCCAAGACAAATCGCCCTCAGACGCTGTGGATTCGTCACAGTCGACGAGCCCAAAAGATCAGTTTACGAGTCACACGAAGGCCTCACCGTACTTGCATGTTAATTAAGCGACATGCCATGATCCGTATACAGGCAGACCGTGTGTCGACCAATTTGGCCATGGTTATGCGCTCCAAGTGGCGCAATCGCGCCGGAATCTTCGATGCCTCCGGGCAAGACGGGGTCATCGCGAGCGTCGGCTTAATAGTGTGCAAGCACCGCCTTCTAGTGACGAAGAGGACTCACTGCTGCTACAGAGCTGGCTACGGGAGAGACTGTTAGACGTCGAAAATTGTTCGTATTCGGTTGCTTCGGTGCCAACTGACCTGCTTTTTAAGAAGTTCAACTTGCACACTCCACGGTGCGTCAGGTGCTGCATCTTAAAACAGCCTCTGCAAGAATAATGCGGGGTTCAGGTTTGCTCGTACAGATAGCATGACAGGTCGTCTTCGACACCCCGCCTTCGCAAATTCCTGAGGTGCACCATGGAACTTACCGCCCTGCAAAGGCTGCTGAAAGCAACTCACCAGCACACCTGCAGCCCACTGCTTGCGCCAGTCACAGCTCAAGGTCCCAAGATCTTGTCAAATCCCTCAGGCAGCGTTGGTGTGGCAGTGAGCATGAAGCGCCTCGAACAACCAAGCCCAAATTCAACTTGCTGGGTGCCACCATCAGACCCAGCCTCGGCTGCAAAATCAGAAGAACCCTCTTCACAAGAGTCAGAAGGACTCTTCCGCGAGCTCCAAGACAATTTTATCGTCTGTGAGAGCGGCTTCCGGCCCCTCCGCTTGACCTCCACCTCGATCGCCTTAGCAGCTTAAACTTCCAGCTTTT